TGTCAATGTTTGGATGGTTGATAAAGAGAATTAGATGGCATTCTTAGGGCATTTTTGACTTTTCAAATGTCACTTAATGGACTGGTTAACAATAGGTAATGGATTGTCACATTTTAAAAGTTTGGGTACTGGATTGAGAATATCTCCTAGCTTGATATTATCATTTATGGGAAGATGTTCTCAATGCATAGTTGATATGCACTATGAAGTTGGTGTGAGATTCGCTCTGTGAGAAGCAAATCCGAATTCACTTTGTTTTAGGTGTTTGAAGTCTTTGCTTGTGGCTCSCGTGGTGTTGTCGTGTGTAATTGTGTGAATCCGAGGTGTTGTCTTGTGTTCGGCTGGTTTTTCTTCTCCTATTAATGATGTTTAATTTGATTACCAAAACACCTTGAAGAAAAGTTTTAGGGAAAATTCTCAATCACTACCCTATACTTTGGCTCGAGTGACAATTTGGTCTTCGAACTTTCAAAATGTGACAATCCTGTACTTGAACTTTCAAAATGTGGCAATCTAGTACCTGCCATTAACCAGTCCGTTAATCAGCTGTTAAGTGACATTTGAAAAGTCAAAAGTACTCTTCGAATGCCATCTAATTCTCTTTATCAACCATCCTAATGTTGACAAAAAACTGAATACTCCCAAATCCTAACCTCTTCTATTCAAAAAAGTTGGTGATTGTTTAGAAGAGGCTAGGATTTGGGACTATTCATTTTATTGTCAATGTTTGGATGGTTGATAAAGAGAATTAGATGGCATTCTTAGGGCATTTTCGACTTTTCAAATGTCACTTAATGGACTGGTTAACAATAGGTAATGGATTGTCACATTTTAAAAGTTTGGGTACTGGATTGTTGCATTTTAAAGTTTGGGGACCAAATTGTCACTCAAGCCAAAGTACAGGGTACTGATCAAGAATTTTCCCAAAGTTTTAATAATGACTAATCAATAATATTCAAAAGTCTTTTGAAAAACCCAAACTGACCTTTTATTGTTTTACTCATTAAAGCTTAAGGTGGCATTCGGTAGTGTGTATATATCGTGGATGGGACCATTTTCGTTTTGTCTACGATAAGATATGGTGTTTTGTTATGTGTGGACGGTCCCCATCCACAAAATAGCATGGACAGGGATGGGCCACACCCCAATTTATCGTCCATAGTTTTTTCACATGGATGATCCAATTACTCTCATTTTATTTAATATTTTAATAATTTTTAATTTTTAATATTTTATCAACTCTTTTTTCATTATTTAAATATTAAATTTTTAATATTTTTATCAATAAATTAATATTTAAAACATTAATTTTTATTTTTAATATTTAAAATAATATTTTTTAAATTTTTTAAAAAATGCAATTATTTTTTACATATTGATGCCTTTTTTACAATTTATTTACCATACAAAATGCAAAAATTAGACATTTATGATCAATTGTGTAGATCTCCCATAAAATGTAGATGAGATACATGGAATCAAAAAGTATGGTGTGGACCAGTCCACACCACACCTACAGAACGCCATCGTGGGTGTGGACTAGTTTGATCCACACAATCTATCCACAGTTTCGAACAGCCATGGACTGTGGTGTGGTGTGGACTAGTCCACACCCACCAATTTCTCATCCACACTACAAAACACCCCCTAAGGTGGCATTTAGTAGTGTGTAAATATCGTGAACGGAACTGCTTTGGTCTTGCCCATGGTAAGATATGGTGTTTTGCTATGTGTGGACGGTTTCCGTCCACAAAATAGCATGGATAGGGACGACCACACTCCAATTTATTGTCCGTAGTATTTTCTCATGGATGGTCCACACTATGGGATGGACAGTTTGTGGGAAGGTTTTAGTGTAACACACCTGCGTTACATTGGTCCAATTACTCTCATTTTATTTAATCTTTTAATAATTTTTAAATTTTCAAACTTTAATATTTTATCAATAAAATAATAATTTTTAATGTTAATTCTAGCACAAGTTTGACGGTTCTCCTTCTCAACTCTTTTTAATTATTTAAATATTAATTTTTTAATATTTTATCAACAAAATAATATTTAAAATACTAATTTTTATTTTTTAATATTTAAAATAATATTCTTTTGATTATTTAAAAAATGCAATTGTTGTCTACATATTAATGCCTTTTTCAATTTATTTACCATATAAAATGTAAAAATTAGACATTTATGATCGACTGTATAGATTTCCCATAAAATGCATATAAAATACATGAAATGAAAAAGTGTGGTGTCACACCTATAGAATGCTACCGTGGATGTGGACTGGTCCGGTCCACACAATCTATCCACGGTTTAGAATAGCTGTGGACTATGGTGTGGTGTGGATTTGTCCCTGCCACCGGGTGTGGTGTGGACCAGTCCACACTCACCAATTTCTCATCCACACTACAGAACACTAGGGTGAACAAAAAGAAACCAAAAAAACCAAACTGATTGAAACCAAACCGACCGGTATACATATATTTTTATATACTTTATATATTATAAATTAATAAATGTGCATTATATATATGTATATTTATAATATATTATATATTATTTATTATTTAAAATATAATATTTTATATATTAATAATTTTTTATTATATATTTATTGATAATATATATTGTAAAAACTAAAAGATTGAAAACCGACGATTAACTGACTAATTTCAATTTGGTTCCAGTTATTAATTTTCCAAAAACCAATACCAACGATTCGCTTCAAGAAAATACCCCACGATTCGATTAACCGAACCGTAAGCACCCCTAGAGAACACCCCCTAAGATATCATTTTTATCTCCAAAATTAAATCATCATCCTTTTTGTAACTCTTTAATCTTTATGTCCATATCAACGTCAATACCAACAATTTTGAAGCTATCGGTAAGCTTTATTCTTCCTACGGCGTTTCAGTGATTGTATCACACCGACAACTTTGTTTATTCTTGCCTATCCCTACCTGTTCAACAAACTACAAGTTACAATTAAATTGCTTCAAGTTACAATTAAATTGCTTGGTGATGGATCCTCTAAATATTCAGAACCCGGCCTATATATATCTGTATATATAGCTTCTTTCGTAGTCTTGCTTTTGATTAGGAGGTGCTTAATCGAAAGCAATCTCAGAGTTGTTGTTGGGTTCTTTCTCGTGTAGTTGTAATCATGATTGTGGTATATGTGTAACCCAGCAGATTTATCCAGTATAGTACTGCCGTGGAGTCCTTTTCTGAAGTTCTGATACATAGCATTCTCACTCTATGCATCTTTTAAGAGTGGAGAAAAAAGTTTCCCAGCTTTATATTTTTCTTAATCCTTGGTATTATCTCCAATCATGTTACTTGATTTACAATTTGCTGGATGAATCTCAAGAAATTAAATTGGTCCATGAAAAAATCGAAAAAACTCAAGAGGTTGGATCTTACACGTAGGCCCTTAATTGTCACCATCATATGGAAAAGACCTTCTAAATAAATCAAATAATATGAGCCCAGCGAAAGTTAAATCATTTAATTTCTTTTCCAACCTACCAGTAAGTTGCTTGATGCAACCTACTAATTAGTAAATTCCTTCATTTCTTAAAAGATAAGTCGTCCCAATTTAAATTAAATTGAAGTGAAATGAAACTTGCGGAGAATTCCAGTTCTAAACCATGATGAATTATATTTATATTTGAATTAATTACGTTATTATGTTATTTCTATGTTTCTATTAATAAATAATTAAATTCAAAATGAATTTTTAATTATTCTTATTGATTTTCCTAGCTTTTGGAAATACATGCACGCTCTAGCGTATCTCAAATTATTGATTATTAAGCTTGCTTTGATTAAATGAACAAAGACAATTCAGTTGCAGAATGCCAGAGGATACAACTTTCTATTGCAAGAAACTCCAATCCTCCATGAAGTCATCTAATTAGTCCAGTCCTATTACCCTCATGGCTCATGCATGCCTCTCTCTCTCTCTCTCTCTCTGTCTCACTCATTGTGTGGAGAAAAGAGACGAGACGAACTCGTATACAAATTCAAAGATTCATAAAAGTTGATGTACTATTAGCTTCCAATTTCCAATTAAATACTTACTAGGGCACAAAGTCCTCCCATATCGGAATTTCCCTCGGAGAATGTGCGCAGCGCATATAGTGAAATTTTATCTTGTTGAGTAGTTGTGCTGGGTGGACATATATAAATAGCGGATTTGACGACTAGATTTAATTTGCACAATTGCACTCTCCCTGGTTCCTACACCATGTCCAAATATATATAACAAATACTCCCGTGACTGATAAGAAAGAGAAAATAAGATTTGGGATCGCCATTTTCAAATCCCCACTTTGTCTTTATTTTGGTATTGTGCGCTTCCCAAGCAAAAAGAATTGGAATTGGTAATTTGGTACTTACTACTTCCATTTCCATTCTGGGTGGTGATATATCAGATACTCGGTTGGTGTATCCCATAAGTTGTCTGTTCGATCGGGTTTATACATGGAGAGTAAGGAAGGTAGGCTTGCAATTTTCTGGGTCTACCAAATTGAGCAGTGGAGTGTGGGAGTGGGACGGTGGAAGTGCAGGAGTAGGCGACACTGTTTTCACCTCATTGGAGGATGTTTGTTAGTTAGGATGGAAATTGGAAATATATTTTTTATTCAAAATACCCTTTGGAATTTATATCTTAAGAAAACTGATAAAGGTACCTTTCTTTATAAACATTAGATACAATTTTACATTATTTTTATCTTACCAAAACATTTTTTATAATTTATTCAAGAAATATGGATAACTGCAACTTAACCCTCGTTAGTTGTTACCCAAAATGAATAAATTCGACGGAAGATGACGATTTGTTCTATATACACCGCGAAATCAGCAGAGACCAGAGGAGGGAGAATCTGGAGAATAAACACGTGACTCAGAGGTGTACCGCGAAGCTACCCTTCTTTTTATTTTTGGTGTTAGTGTCTCTCCCGAGCCCTAAAGCGGAAAAAACTTTTGTCTGACCCAAAAAATAAAAATTTCTGAACTCAATTATTCAAAGACTGGAAACGGACAACGTCCATCCACCGTCCCCAGTCCCCACTTACCAGCAGCACCTCTGGTTAGCTCAGCCCCTCTCTCTCTCTCTCTCTCTCTCTCTCTCTCTTCTCCTCTCTCGATTTACCTCTCTTGATACTTATTTATAAAAGCAAAGCATTGCGAAAGGCTTCCTCCTCCATTCCCTTTCCTGATCTCTCTCATACTCGGGGAGCGCGGGAGAAGATGAAGATGCCGAAGTTTCTATTCCTCCTGCTGCTTCTGGGTTTCTTCCATGTCTCTGTGGCAGCAATATGGAAGCAACAGCAGCAGCAGCAGCAAAAGAAGACCTACATCGTTCACATGGCCAAGTTCCAAATGCCAGCGAGTTTCGACGAGCACACTCACTGGTACGACTCGTCCCTGAAATCTGTTTCCGACTCTGCTGAAATGCTGTATACGTATGACAACGTTATTCACGGCTTCTCCACTCGACTGACGGACGAAGAAGCCAAATTACTAGAGGCCCAACCGGGGATTCTCTCTGTCTTACCTGAAGTCAGATACGAGCTTCACACTACTCGGACGCCAGAGTTCCTGGGACTAGATAAGAACGAGGGATTGTTCCCCCAATCTGACATAGCCAGTGAGGTGTTCGTCGGAGTTTTAGACACAGGTATCTGGCCCGAAAGCTTGAGCTTCGACGACAAGGGACTCGGACCCGTCCCCAGTGGTTGGAAAGGCGAGTGTGAGGTTGGTAAGAATTTTAACACGTCCAATTGCAACCGGAAACTAATCGGCGCGCGGTTTTTCTCAAAAGGGTATGAGGCCACGTTGGGTCCCATCGATGAAACCAAAGAATCTAAGTCGCCGAGGGATGACGATGGCCATGGTACCCACACATCGACTACGGCCGCTGGGTCTGTCGTCGACGGCGCCAGTCTATTTGGTTATGCTGCCGGGGCGGCACGCGGGATGGCTACACGTGCGAGAGTTGCTGTCTACAAAGTATGCTGGATTGGCGGTTGCTTCAGCGCCGATATCTTGGCCGCGATGGAAAAAGCCATCGATGACGGAGTTAACGTTATATCCATGTCTCTCGGTGGCGGAATGGCTGATTATTACAAGGATACTGTTGCCGTCGGAGCATTTGCGGCTATGGAGCGAGGAATACTCGTCTCTTGCTCTGCCGGAAACGCCGGTCCGAATTCTTACAGCTTGTCGAATGTAGCTCCTTGGATAACAACCGTAGGTGCGGGCACATTGGACCGCGACTTTCCAGCTTACGTTAACCTTGGAAACGGAAAAAACTTCTCCGGCGTGTCGCTTTATAGTGGAAAACCGTTACCAGATTCCTTAATAGAGTTCGTCTACGCTGGTAACGCGACTAACGTTACAAACGGGAATCTTTGCATGGTTGGTACTTTAATACCGGAGAAGGTCGCCGGAAAGATTGTATTGTGTGATCGGGGGATTAATGCTAGAGTTCAAAAGGGCTTCGTAGTGAAACAAGCCGGTGGCGTAGGCATGATTTTAGCGAATACTGCAGCGAATGGGGAGGAACTGGTGGCCGATGCGCATCTGTTGCCGGCGACTGCAGTGGGTGAGAAAACCGGAGATATGATAAAGAATTACCTCTTCTCTGACCCTAGTCCGACAGCTACGATATTATTTGGAGGAACAAAGGTTGGGATTCAACCATCACCGGTGGTGGCAGCCTTTAGCTCCCGAGGTCCGAACGCGATTACGCCGGAAATACTCAAACCCGATCTGATCGCGCCAGGTGTGAACATAATAGCTGGTTGGTCTGGCGCGGTAGGTCCAACTGGGTTATCCATGGATTCGAGGCGTGTGAACTTCAACATAATATCAGGTACGTCCATGTCGTGCCCGCACGTGAGCGGCCTCGCAGCTCTCCTCAAGGCTGCGCACCCGGACTGGAGCCCCGCGGCCATAAAGTCTGCCCTTATGACCACGGCCTATATCACGTACAAGAACGGCATCAAGATACAAGATGTGGCCACGGGAAGAGCATCAACGCCCTTCGATCACGGTGCGGGCCACGTGGATCCCGTATCTGCCCTGGATCCTGGTCTCGTCTACGACATCACCGTTGATGATTATCTAGATTTCCTTTGCGCATTACAGTACACCTCCCTGCAGATTAATAGCATAGCGAGGAGAAATTTCACCTGCGACGCCACCAAGAAATACAGCGTCACTGATCTCAACTACCCTTCGTTCGCCATCCCGTTCGACACCGCACAGAGTGGACGAACTGCCGCTGCAACCACCACAGTGAAATATACACGGACACTGACGAACGTGGGCACTCCGGCGACGTATAAAGCGTCTGTGACATCGCAGGTGGCGTCGGTAAAGATCTTGGTCGAGCCAGAGTCGTTGGCCTTCAGTCAAACAAATGAGAAGAAAACGTATACGGTGACGTTCAGCGGGGGTTCGATGCCATCAGGGACGACTAGCTTCGCTCGTCTGGAGTGGTCGGACGGGAAGCACGTTGTGGGTAGTCCTATTGCCTTTAGTTGGACGTGATTGCTTGAAGAGCAGAGGGAAGAAACGACAGCTTTGGTTCATCGTTCGCCCAAAAGTTGTTTAATTAATATTAACATATTTATGATTCTGCTTTTGGTTTCCGGCAATCAAACAAAGCCGGTTAAGTTCTATTGTTCTATATTGTCCTTTGGAGAAAAAAAGAACCAGGAAAAAGAAAGGATGCTTTTCTTGGGAGTTGTACAATGTGATGATAGAAGTTAAAAACCATCGATTTCTACTCTGTAACTCTATTGTTAATTATTTATTTCTTTTCCTTTTCCTCCTACCCCCCCTTCTGCCCTTCATTTCCTCTCATTCTCGGCATTTTATTCTGAAAACGATTCAGACTTCTCTGAAAACAATTAAGAATCCATTTAGATTCTAGGATAGCCTTTTAATTAAGAAATTCAAGAGCAAAATTTAAAGATAAAATGCGAAGTTAAATATCCTCTGATCCCTCTCTCTCTAAAAAATGTAGAGAAAACAGAGGAAGACTGTTTTGTGCAGGTACCCCCTCCCCATAAAAAAAATCAAACGGAACTAACAAACAAAGAGCAGGAAGGGTCATAAAGGTGAAATTCATTTATAAATGCTTATATTACAAAACTAGTAATGCAACGAGTAAACCCATAAGCCGCTAACCCTGGTGAAGTCAGGATTGGATGTAAAGTCTCCACTCTCCACTAGAATCGGCCGGAGAAAAGAATAAACTAAGGCGGTTTTTGGTACTGGTGCCGTTGTTCCCAGTGACACATCAGCTCTACGTCGGAAAAATCGGTGTTCCAACAAACATTAATATGTTTGGAACCGTTTTTTCATAAAAAACTGAGAAGGTGTAGTTTGGAGTAACACTAAATTGGACGTTCTTAGATTAAAGCTTGATGAGGGGTAATTTAGTCTTCCCAATCATATAGCGACACGTGGCCTTTGGATGATATCTCAGCGTTGAGTAAGCGAAACCAGCTCGACAAGTTAGATTTGAGCATTTCACCCAGGCCAACCTTCACCTCGACAAGGCCGATTTAGTAGACCCCATAAGATTATGGCGACCTGTCCTAGGAATCGGCCGAGCTGTTGGAGTCTAAGGCGACTTACGAGGAAGAGCCCATTAATCATTTCCGACAGTACGCCACCAAGCCGAGATCCCTGGAGCACTGATATCTCGACCATTATGGCGACTTGCGAGGAAGATTGGAGCATTTCGCCCAGGCCGACCTCCACCTAGGCAAGGCCGAGCTGTTGGAATCCAAGGCGACCTACGAGGAAGAGCCCATTAACCATTTCCAACAGTACGCCACCAAGCTGAGATCCCCGGAGCGTTGATATCTCGACCATTAGAACGACCTACTACATCGCACGCCTCAGAGTCACTCGGGCTGATCATAACCTCGTGCGGATCTTGCAACTGACGCATTAACACGCCCAACAAAGTAGAAATGGTTCCCCAATAAGCTCTAGCCTGTTATAAGAGGGCCTTGATCACTGGTGCCTATTAAAGGCACTCATTTTTACCTTAAAAGGTACGCATATTCATACACTCTCAAGCTCTCTAAATTTCTCAAAAAACTCTCAAACACTCTCTGACTTAAGCACCGGAGTGCCCTCCCTAGGTAATGACACCTAGGCACTCTAATTCTCTACTTCTTGTAGTACATAACAGCTTGGCCCTGACCAGGAGACATCCAAATCAGAGTCCAAGTCCTCAGACACGAGGGAGCTTCTAGATTGCGTGACATCAGAGCTCGTTGCTATCAACAAGGGCATGATGTGGCAATGATATGAATTTCCTATAATGGGTAATCAACAGATATGGAGTACTGATACCAAACAGAAGGTGTTGTTATTGCTCCAGAAAACGTCCTACCTGATACCAATATTTCCAAAAAAACCACCATTTTCTCAAAAAATGAAGCTTCCGACCCACAGATATACGGCACCGTTTTCTGAGAGAACTGACGCCAAACATATCCTAAGTGATGGAGATAGAAGTGACCTCGAATGGAATCTGATGAAGGGTGATTTGGCCCGACCTCGTAGCCCGGGGACACGTGTATATGACCTGGCCCAGTGAACAGCTCAGCCTGACAGCACGACCGCAACTCGACGGGAGAGGCATGCCGAGTCCAATGCTAGCCACTCGGTGAGTCAAGCAACTCGTCGGGGACTGACGCCTGGCCAATTTTGACTCCCACCAAGTGTGGAAGGTCCCGAGCTCTCCCAGGGGCCCGAGCTCCCCCTAAGGGGCCTGGAGCTCTCCCTTCCCAAAGAGGAAGCACCCTGGCTCGTGGCTAAGTTTCTCGAGCACCTCGGGGTAGTAACGGCAAGGGCGGTGGCGCTTATGCCAAGTATGACCAGGCTCCAACATAAAATAACTCTAACTCACACAAAGAAAAGGTATTGAAGCTTAAGCACTCTGAGCACTCTTAGTCTCTACTCTCTTTGAGATTTTCTCTAGTTCTAAGATAGCCATCGGAGTGTTCCCTCCGGGATAACCCCACGGTAACCTTTTACTTTCTCCTTCCTCTCAGGTGCTGTTCTTTCTAGTCAGAAGACAGGTCACAGGCAGCTAGGAGTGCCCAGATCGTGTAGCATCATTTGGCGCCGTCTGTGGGAAACGCTTCGAAAAGCCTCCCTTTAATCTCTGCGAAAGCCCAAAACATGAAAGTTGTGGTTTTTTCTCTTATCTTTCCAGTGGATCTTGTATCAACCCATTCGGAGTTTGGAGACTCGAGTTAGACCCAAATCACTGAACGTTGTCGAAACTGTGAAAAATCATCCGATTTGTCTTTCTTTGCTCTTGATGCCTTCTTTCATACCCTAGACAAAAATACAAGAGATATGAGTCCAATTAGATGTTAATTTAGTATAAAAGACAGATTAATTGGGGATAAAAATATGATAAATTCTACTCTCGTCACCTAGTCTAGCTGATCCAACAAAATCAGGTTGTCCACCCGTCTAACAAGTACAACAGAACTAGCTAGCTCCACCAATCCCTTCAATTGTCGTTCCTCCACTAACTTAACATAATGGAAGGGAGGGGGGGACAAAAGAAGAGACAGATTGCCTTTCCGCCATGACCAACATCAAGGAAAGTGGCCAGATCGGAGAAGGGTTGAAGAAAAAGATCGACA